CTTGGCTTAAACGGCATACTTTCTATCACCTTGACAGCTTCTTCGATCCTACCCGCTCGTCCCAAGATGTCAACTAAACAAGCATAATGCTCCAAGGCAGGTGAAACTCTGAACTCTCCTTTCATGCGTTCAAACAAACTTACACCATACTCTGTACGCCCTGTATCACTACACCCAGATAACAAAGCAACAAAAGTAATCCCATCTGGCTCAACGCCTGATTCTATCATCATATCAAAAAGACTGATCTCTTCTTCTACATCCCCATTGATAGCATAAGAGTTTAGCATAACGTTCCATGAAGTCAGATCCTTACTTAACATCCCATCAAATATCCTCCTAGCATACACAACCTCACCACATTTCCCATACATATCCATCAACGAATTAACCAAAAGAACATCAGCTCCCTCACTAGCCTTCACAACCTGTCCATGAATCTCTTTCCCTGTCATAAGACCAGCCACACGCGAACACGCAGGCAAAATCGTCGTCAACGTCGCCCAACTAAACCCAATCCTCTCCTCCTGCATCTTCCTAAACAAACTAAACATCTCCTTAACCCTACCCTTCCCACTCAAAACCGAAACAAGCGAATTCCAAGTAACAACATTCCTCTCAGACATTCCATCGAACACCTTACGCGCATCCTCAAAAAACCCCATCTCCATGTAAAACCTCAACAACACATTCTCCACCACCTGATCAACCTTCCTCCCCCCTTTCACGATCTGGGCATGTACCCCTCTCCCAAAGCGAACATCTTTCAATTCAACACACGCTTTCAACGCGACGGAGATCGAGAAATCCCCAGGAGCCACGAAGCTACACAACATGTCAACGTAAGCAATTAGAGATTCTCTCGGTGACCCATTTCTTGAATACGCAATCGCCATCGATGCCCATAGTTTCTCGGTGAGAAAGGTTGAGTCTTTGACGTCGTTGAAGAGTTTGCGAGCTAAGTCTAAACGGCGGCAAACGGAGAAGAGAGTGATGAGTTTGCTTAGTAGCTTTGGGTCGTGACGGAGTTTAGGGTTTTTGAGGATTAAAGTGTGGATTTTTTGTCCGTGGTGGAGTGATTTGGAGGAGATGCATAAGTGGAGCGCGTCTGTGAAACGCTCTGGATTTGAGAGGTTGGAGAGAGTGGTGACGGTTTCGTCGAGATTGGTCGATTTAGAGAGGAATGTGTGAGTTGGATGTTGTCTGAATGGAATGCGTAAGAATTTATAATTGGTGAGACTTTGAGATGTTAAGTAAGGTTGTAGAGTGGTAACATCTGCAATCATTAGGAAACAAAGTAAACATCTTTTTGTTTTGCATTAGAAGTTTTTTAAGAGCGTTACCTAAAGAAGACATTGGAGATTCATTCAGGACAAGTAGTGAGAAGAATGAGAGACTCGAACCAGGTCACAGTGGCAGAGGACAAGTTCGTGTGTGTGTTTGTAAAGTAGACACGGAGAAGAAGATGGATAAGCCAAGCCAGACTATACTCTATGGGAAACAACTTTGTTGGGCTTAATAATGGGCCTTCTTTAATACTTGGGCTTTTTCCGAATGAAGCGTGTTATTATTTATATGGTTTTGATTCACACGTGAGTTGTATGTGCGTGCGTGTCACGTGGCGTTCGCATGTGTTCTGCAAAACTGTGAATGTGAAAGTACTATTTGGTGATGTTTTACAGTAATCTCTATCGTCACCCTCGATGACACGACCGTTTCTATAGTTGCAACATAATTTAAATTCGATTTATTAACAGGAAAATTATTCAGAAACAAACAAACAAAAAATTACAAAAGGGATAAATGACAGTCTTGGCTCGGAACTCACAAAAGGTAATGGTTTTGTTCATGTTGTCGGAATCTAAAAAAGGCTAACAATATTACAAGGGAACATGGGATTATACAATGCGTAAAGGTTGTTGTTGTTGTTATTCTCTCAGTTTTATGAAGAACAAATAAGAAAGAAAACTTTCGTTTTGTTGATCGTCTCTTTGCCTCTTGTCACTTCTTCTCGTCCGTACAGACCAGAGGAAAAAAAGAGCAAAGATTTTTTTTTTTTTTTTTTGGTCTCTCCGGTAAAAGAATTTACATGTAATCATTAGCTCCAGAGCTACCAGACCCAACTCCAACAGTTCTCTTGCTCATGTTAGCTCTCTGCACCAACACAACCAACGCTTGCACCACTTCAGACATCGGTGGTCTAAACTCTGGCTCCGGCTGTTCACAAAATCACAAAAACACCATTTACATTTCAAATCTCATTCTTTCCATGTTCTGCAAAAACACATTTACATGTATATAGGCATTACCTGAACGCAAAGTGCAATAACATCTGCAAACCGGGATAGAGATTTAACAGGGTAAAGCCCTTTAAGAGCTGGATCAACCATTTTCCCTAATGCATCAATGTCGTGAAGCTGAGGTGATGCCCATCTCACCAGTGACTGTTCAGATCTTGACCTTGTGCTGTAATCAAAAGAGGCTTAACTAACTCAAAACACATTTCACTCTTTAGGAAAATGAATTAGTACAAAGGAGATATAAGTACCTGTCAAATGGTTTTCTTCCGGTTAAAAGCTCAAGCATCACTACTCCAAAACTGTAAACATCACTCTTCAGAGAGTATTGGCCTGACATTGAGACTTCTGGTGCGTTGTATCCTTCATCGTTTTGGTTTAGTAGCTGTACATTGTATCAGAATCATAAGTAATGCAGAAACAAGAGAGAGAGATAGCTGGAGACTTCTGTATATACCTCATTCGCAGTAGGGAGGAAGCTAGCGAGACCAGCGTCTGAGAGGTGCGGATTCAGCTCTGAGTCAAGTAAAATATTTGCTGATTTGATGTTCTTGTGGACTNCTTCCGAAAGATGCAAAAAGTCATGCAATGAGCCGTTTCTATGGAACTCGTAGATCACCAAGTGTTGTCCATGTTCAGAACAGTAACCATCAAGCTTTGTCACATTCTCATGATCCAAATGCGCAATTTTCGATACTAATTCAGTAAAATCATCAGCCGTGTCAGTGGGAAGTGCAGTCGAGTCTATTTTCTTCACAGCAAGTACCTATTAGATCACATCAACATCTCAGTATAGTAATAGTTTACATGTAAAGTAAAGGTTCCTATAAAAATTTAATACCTTTCCATCATCAAACTGAGCTCTGTAGACTCTTCCAAAAGTCCCTTCACCAAGAAGATTATCAACGCTGAAACTATTGGTAGCTATTTGAAGATCTGCAACCGTATAGACCTTCACATTTGAAGGAACAATGACAGCAGGTTTCTTTACAACAATAGGCTTCCTCACTGTTGAATCATCTTCATCAAAAGACTTGTGTCTCTCAGCTGGTGGAGGTCGTAGATTCATTGACAATGAAGGGTCCAGTTTCTTTGTCTCAACTAAAGGTTGATTCTGCACAGCCTTGTTCTCTGCAACTACATGAAGGTCGTTTGAAGAGGGTGTGAAGGGTTGAGGTTGGTTAACGTTATCAGTCCTTTCAATGTCTGTGGACATTGTCTTCTTTGATCTTCTCTTCTTGATCAAGAAGAAAGCTACGGCTGCTGTTACAACTAACAATGAAATAACTATTCCTGCTATTCCACCAGCTCCAATCCCTGAATCATTGGAATCACCATTGCTACTGCTGGAATCACCATTGTTTCTGCTGGATTCATTATTGTTACGGGATTTAGGAGTAGGTAATTTATGGATAGGAGGTGTGCCAGGAGGTGGTGGGGGTGCAGGCCCGGAACTGAATGAGTTACCATCTTTTCTGTTTCCAAGACCATTCAATAAAAAAAATAGTGAGATTGAGTTAAAAAGTTCCAAGAAGGAACTAATCAAACACTTACTGCAAGTTAATGTCTTTCAAAGAATCAGGGATCCAGCCAGTGAACTGATTGTTTGCAATGTTCCTGAGGAAAGCATTCAGCAAGAACAAAATTCAAGATGGATTTCTAAAATGGATGAAGTTTAAGTTACTCACAAATTTTCAAGAGGAAGGGTGGCTAAGACATCAATGGTGCCTGTGAACTGATTGTTCTGAAGATAACTGTTGAAGTTCATTCAATAAAACATTATGTTAGTACTAACTGGTGCACTGAAAGTAAGTTGTTACAACACATGGAGACAACTTACATTGACTTTACACTTGTGAGAGAGCTCATTGTGTTTGGAAGAGAACCTGTGATAGAATTGGAAGAGAGGTCCCTGAAGACACACATGGATTTGTCATTCAACTAATCTATCTCTTAACTAGTTTAACTCAGGGAAAGAAATAAAGAGGATCTTACAAGATAGAGAGAGATGTGAGTTTGGTGAAGTCAATAGCTAGCTGCTTAAGCTGGTTGTGAGCAAGATTCCTGGACAAAACCAAAGTTCCATTAAACAACTATTCTTCTCCAAGATATATAATTAAACTAAACTAAGAACTTACAGGTACTTAAGAGGTGTCATTTGAGAGATGGAATACTGAGCAGATCCAGTGAACTGGTTATTAGCAAGATTCCTAAACACAAACTCAAAAACTTTATCAACTCGGAAACAGACATTAAAACTTGTATAAAATGTAGAGAGAATCATCAAAACATACAATCGCTCCAAATTTGGAGGAAGCTGATACGGCAAGTCCCCTCCAAGGTTATTGTTGCTTACATCACTGCAGGTTTCACCAAACACAGTCCAGGAGATTATAAGCTATACCATTTATAAAAAAAAATAGAAAATTTGGGGGTATTGAATCATGGAAGATGAATTATTACAACTCAGTAACAGATGTCAGTTTATCAAGCGCGTAGCCTAGTGATCCAGAAAGTCCAAGACCTGATAACTTTCTGCAAGTAGATAAAACAAATAAATGTATTAAGCATAGAATACAGTGATTTTGAAATAATGATACAAAAATGATTACATTTGAGTAACTCTTGAACCAGAACAAGTGATGCCTTTCCAGTTTTGTCCACAAGGGTCACCTCCTGATGATGCTGTCCATTGTGACAGCTGTCCTGGTGAATTCATGGAGCTGAACATGGTGTTTAACGCCAAAGCTGCACATATAGAGGAACTATTCAGACCATGGATTGAATTCATAATCATCTCAACTTTTTTTGTCGGTTCATTGAAGTAGATCCAACATAAAGTTTCCTGTCTAATTGAAGAAATGTTTAATGAGAGATACACACAATAAAGGAATAAGAAAAAAAAAACAAAATAGAAAGTGGGTTTAAAAAAGGAGAAAAGAAAGATTCGAGATTTGAGGTTGGTGAGAACCCGTTTTGAAGAAAAGAACATAAGCCCAGAATCAACAGTAATGAAGGATTCAAAAAAAACCATTGAAAGATCGAGACTTTATAGGAGAACAGAGAGGGAAAAACAGAGTAAGAGGAAGGAAAACTCACTATCAGATGCATCAGTGGCTGAAAGGATGAAACTTGGGTTCAACCCTACAATGCAGAGTATGAACAGAGCCAAACCCACACGGTGATTCTCACTCATCTTCTTCCTCTTCTATCTCTCTCTCTCTAGAGGCAGATGAGACAGAAGAAAACCCAAATGGCAAAAACCCAAAAAAAGAAAAACTTTGGATTTGTAGATTTTTCAGACTCTGTGTTCTGATATTTTATTTTATTTTATTATTTTAATGTTTAGCTTAGATTTTATACTGTTTCGGCCAGAAGACGAAGTTCTCGAGTAATGCTGACAAAGCACGATTTGCTATATGTAAAGAATCCGAGAGCCATTGGTATTAGCCTTATTAGCTATTTAGCTTAGTGTTATTTTTTTCTTTTAATAAAAAAAAAATAATAAGTAATTTTCATTTTATATTTTCTTCGTTTTATTTAAGTTATATTTTTTTATTTTTGCACACACATTAATAAAATATTAAATTTTATATATTTTCAAAATAGAACAGAATTATTTATACATGTAACTACATTTTAATCAATAAAAATTAAAAAATATATAAAATTAATAACTTCAGTATTAAAATTATAAAATGACAATTATTTTTAGTCAATTTTTTTTTTATCTACAACAACATGTAAATTGAAATTGAGAAAATATTAATTCCTAGTAATACACTTGATAATTTTCATTTGATCAATGGTATTGGTCAGAGGCATTGTCATTTTTTTTGTTTTTTTTATGCAATTCCCTCATTCCCACAATAAAAAGAAAATACAAATAAAAATAACTTTTTTTTTCTCAAATAACATTTATTAGATACTAATTGAGTTTACATGATAAAAATAACTTTTTTATAACTACCTTTGTTTTCATAACACCT